GAAAGAGTGCTTTTAATTGTGAGCAGACTGCGATTTGAAAATTTTCCTCAATGAATGCTAAGGCTCGCTTTGCTGCCTTATTTAAGACTCGAGATTTATGGCGTCACGAGCCAATATTGCGTTTACTTTATTTTAAAAATATCTAAACCCGAGCACCTTAGATATGCAATGCTACGGATACTTGAAGAAAAAAAAATATCTCGCGTTTATTTAAAGAACGGCCTTGTTGTAGTCGGGGATGGGATTTTCTTAACAAACGGCCTAGTTTCACTTTACGGTAGTTTCGAAAAAGAATTGCTCATCCACCCTTATTTCTCATTATTTGGAAATACGCGTATTTGAAATTTACGGACTTGTGAACTCTACAGGAGATATACAGTGGTTACATAAACTTAGTAAAGTGTACCATAAAATCTACAAAGTGTACAAAGTAATTTTTTTTACCGTGATATGATATAATTTCATAAATTTAAATAACTCGTGTCTCATTAAAGCACCGAAAATGTTAACAATCGCCCTGAGTTAATATTAATGCTGTGTGCGCTTTATTAGACCAAAAAAAAAAAAAAAAAAAAAAAAAAAAACAAAAAAAAAACCAAAAAAAAAACAAAAAAAAATTTATCACCTGTTTATTTTTAAGAATTCCATTGGCGATGGAATGGTATTCGCGTGTAATATCATAAAAGTGCTTCTAAAAGATTAAATGCTTTCGTTCTTGGCTGTTTTCTTTGACGTTTTCAAATATAAACATGTTTTCGTAAAGTTCTTTAAAATATGTTAGAAAATTTTCAAATTTTCAAATTCAGTTACTTTATAGTGCATTATTTACATAAATAAATGCATTAATTTCTTATATGCATTTGAATTTTAAATATTTATCTACAATAAGTGTTTTCTTCAAAAGTACTTCTTACGTCAGTCTTCCAAAAAAAAAAAAAAAAAAGAAAAAAAAAATTCCATTTTCTATTTTACCTGCGGTATGTAGCGATAAATTATAATAGAATTGTCCAGCACTTCCAGTCGATGCATATATCAATGATTATGATCTACTCGCTTGACAGTGGAGTAAATCTAACATATTCGTTTTTTTTTTTTTTTTTTGACTTTACCAATTACGTGTGAACGTAATTGGTAATTACTCGATACTCACCTCACATTCGTTATTAACGGAGTTTATTCTCCGAGTAAGCGAATAGACTACGAGAGTCGAATTATGAAGAATAGACGAGAATATCCAAATAAGTAGTTACGAGATAGCCAGCCGATAAGTATCAGCCGTAGACACGATGAGCTTATACTGGTGAAATAACTACTCGAGAACCACGACGGAAGTATAACAACGGATTTCACCGATATAAAATTTTCCGATGGTAAAATAATCTTCCAATCGGATCTCCAGGCAGAGACTATAAAGCCAAATGGCTACAAGAACATCTAACCAAATACGAAAAACTTTTGAGGTCTTTTGCAAAAGAGCAGGTATTAAGCTCAAATATTATCAGCCAAGTAAAAAATGACGACTCTATATGCATATAAAAACGTACTCTTTATTATGAGATTGAATTTATATTATCATTAAATTATTATTCATTGAATGTGGCGGCTATTGTAAGGTAAATAATTAAAGTAGCTTCTGTTTATATATAAAATAAAAATTCAAATATAGAATTTCGCATGTAATGATAATTTACATCCTCGCATGATACAATTCAAAATTCATAAAATTTTTAAATAGAAGAAACAAAAGAATACATAAATAATAAATTAAATAAATATGATAGAGTATGAAGAAATAGATGGAGAATAATTTGTCGAAATTTTATATAGAAAATTCATCGCTTCATCGAATTTAATATCCCCTCATCAAGCATTAACAATATAATAATAAAACAGTGAAATTAATAATACAATGCTGTGTAATAAGAGCAAGATAAAATGTACAATTAGTAATTAGCGAGTGAAAATTAAGGTACGTTGAGGGAGAATAGAAGGAAAAAAACAGTTTTGTCTAAAAACAGGTAATTTACACGTCTTTACGGCAAAAAGTATTTTTCGAGATATATTATGTTTGGATGGTGCTCGAGAAAAATGGGGTACTCTTACATACAAGGAATCCTTTTTAATGAAAGAAAAAGCATTTTACTTAATGCGATATAGCGGTAATTTGAAAAAAAAAAAAAAAAAAAAAAATGAAAAACAAAAAGGAAAGAGACAAAGAAAAGTTTATTCTATACTTGGATTCGCTGAAATCGAGAAGAGCGAATATAGCCGAGAGAATAATATGTCATTACTGAACAGAAACGATAAAAATTGAATCATTTTTATTGCCAATGTACGACATAAAAGACAAGAAAAGAAAAGACGAGAGAGGAAATGAAACGAAACGATTGTAATAATGGGAATGGGACACGTTAAGCAATCTGCTTGAATCTTCTTCATTGCTTAATTATTGGGCAGATTATCGCGGAATAATCCAAAAGCACAGACTGATAACGATAATATTATTGATAATTAATGTTATTGATTTTTGAAAATATGAAGAAAAAAACAGCCAATGCCAATAGCATCTGTCGCGAGAAAAAAGAAAAAAGTCGATAAAACAAAGTACATTTGAGAATGAAATAAATTGCCAATGTCCCGTAGAAAAAGGTACGTATAAGAAGCAAATAAACAATTGCAAGCTAATTTTACGACAAAGTGCTGCAATGCAATAGTGCGACATTACAATAATTCGATAAAAAAAAAAAGATTAGAATAAAAACAAAAAAAAAAAACTTGTGCTTACGCAGGAGATTAGAGAGTGGCGGTTGTAAGCTTTTGCATGAAATTATAGGAGAAAGGGTGTCGAAAACATATTATAAATCTTATCGGGGATGTTAAGATTAAAAATTGGACAAATCGCCTCGAGTTAAGGAAGGGAAGAAACAATCGGCAGATGTATACAATGCAATCAGCAAAATCCGTCCTCGAAGACTGACAAGACAATGAATTTTCGAGGAGACGAGCAGTCGAAAAGTTGGCGGCACTCGGCAACGCGAGCAGATTAAGAATTAGCCAAGCGTCGAATGAAGTCGGCAACTCTCTGTCTCTCGCCGGAAACTCAACTGCATCCCAACTGCACGAATAATTGTATTTCTTTGGCTGGAGGGGACGGGAGAGCCGTCTCGGTTTTCGGCGTGATGGCGAGGGGTTGGTGGGGAGCGGGAGGCGGGTGG